GGAAATATAAAATGAAGGTACAAAAAACTTTCTTCATCCCTAAAATTAGATTTCTACTAAAATTAGATTCCACTCTCAGAAACCGCTCAAACAGGTGTTCCTTCTCCCCTCAGGTAACATTCGTGCGCACGTCCACCGAAACGAATCCTCGTCACCGATCAGTTATGCAAACACGGTGTGACTCTAGCCAGGCCAAGACGAAAAACGAGAAAAACGACAGGACGCGAACGCAAATCGCGACTTTCTCTCGCGTACAATGCGCCTATATTATATTCATTCGGTTTTCCACGAAAGGGAGACCAAATCCGGGGTTCATCGAACTCTCGGATGGAACGTCGGATTCACAGAACTCGTCCTGCTTCTCCCCGGATCGCGCCGCTCCTCCGAAGGGGCTCTTCCGGTCCCTCTTCGGCGAAGAGATCCTCGCCGTGAATTCCACGGTCCCCAAAACTCTCTCACCTCTCGCGCGACACTACTCGAGGCTCGCAAGGGATCTAGTTATCGGTCTTGTTCGCGTCTAACTGAATTCGAGATCCGTAACAGTGTTACTTATATAGCAACCAGCTCGCACCGGCTGAGGTTACAGCCGATCGTTTCTTGGTCATTGCCTAGCTCCGTGGTCCTTCCGTCGCCTGCCGAGGCCACCTCTCCTTAGAACGTCTCAAGGGTGAAGAATCCCTTGGTCTTCGTCACCGTGGCCTTCCATTCTTCCCGGCCTTTTTATGTATGGTTCAACTGGAGTATGGTCTCCAGTTGGACCACTCGCGATTGCCTTCTAGAATTCTCTTTTGACGCTTTATTCGACCCAGGATTTAATTTCGACTTAAATTGACCAGCCAAGTTTCACGAAAACTGATATTGTAATTTTAATTTGATTAATATTGCGATTTTGTAATTTTAATATGGATCCTTGTGGGAAGCCTCATGGAATTTGTTCGATTTAAATCGAAACGCAATTTAGGAACTCGCTGAGAATTTTATATGTTATAAAGACAGAAATTGTAAATCGTATAAAACGAAAATAAGAATTATTGACCGAGACATACTTCATTAAGACGTATATAGATCGAGTACGCGCCATTAGGGATTCGAAATAACGCAAGGAACCACTAAATCACTCCGTTTCGTCCGTATTCCGAAACCCCGTTTCACTTTTCACGTTCAGGATGATCGTGCGCCATGAATTCGTTAAAAGTCCCTCTCGGAGGGGCCCGGACGTGAAATTTTCGAAGGTGTAAAGTTGGTACGTGCCTGGGAAAAGGCATTACGTCGGTATTGCGTTGCGATCTGAATTTCATTCGATTTTATTGCGTCGCAATCGTTTCGATACCGATCCTGGAGAGTTCATTTTTTTTTTATTTATTTGGGTAACGAAGAGCTACGAAACATTGATTCCAAAAGTTAATCACCGAAGGAAATGAATTTCAACGGAATTCGTTAATTCTGACGAAGTTACAAAAATAAATACCACGATAAATGTTTAATTAGGTAATACCTCTAATAGTCTAAATAATATTTAATCCCAGCAGAAATTTTCAAAAATATTATGGGGACTTTATTTATTATTTATCAGCTCACTGTGCACCAATTTATTTTTATCAGGAAAATTTGCACGCTACAATTGATTGTAAATAAAAATATATTATAGTATATAATGAAAATATATTATATTATAATTTCATTTGCTCGAATTTAACGTAAGACAAACGACATCACTTTCTGGTCTCCCAAATATTTTTATTGTCTCTCGACGTGTCAACATCTCCAATGGGTCACTTGAGACCCATTATACATTAAAGCGCAGAAGAAAACGTTCGAGGTAGAAACATGAACGCATACGTGCAACGCATAAACCGGTAAACAGTGGCTGACGAAAAAGTTCGCGGAGAAGTTGCGTGGGCGGTTGAAACACTTGAAACCCACCGGGCGAGGCACGTAACAGTTTAGTGAACCCTTGACGTCGAATGGTGTTGGACCGGAATACCTTAAAAAAACCTTCTTTTTGGTGACCCGAACCCAAGACCCTTTACCACCTTTTTATTCTTGTATAAGAAGAGCGCGGTCACTCATCCTTGTACCGCACACCGGGAACCGCATCTTAACCTGAATTATCGCACGCGACAACGCGGTGTCAATGATCTAAGAAGATTGACTTGAGTCAACTCGACCCAAATCCAGAGCAGTAATCGCCTTTCGAGTAACAATTTTCTTTTATTAGAAAACATATTATATAAATTTTTTTAGAAACAAAATTTAACCGACTTCAAAAAGGTACAGAGAAAAGTATGAAATAATTTCTAGTTAATGTATATGAATCTGCATTATGGACTGAGCACTCTACATTACCGACAGAGCAATCTGAATTATCGACCGAGCACTCTACATTACCGACAGAGCCATCTGATTTATCGACCGAGCGCTCTACATTACCGACAAAGCAATCTGTATTATCGACAGAGCACTCTACATTACCGACAAAGCGATATGTATTATCGACAAAGCACTTTACATTACCGACAGAGCTCATCATATTGCCGACAGAGCCATATGCATTATCGGTCGAGCATTCTACATTACCGACAGAGCAATCTGCATTATCGACCGAGCAGTCTGAATTATCTGAATTAAAATGAAAAGTATACAAATAATGTCTAATTAATTTATATGATTACGCACAAGCTCTAGATATGATCAAAAGTATGGGAAAATGCTGTAAAAAGCATGAAATAATTTCTAGTTAATGTATATGAATCATTATCGACAGAGCACTCCACATTACCGACAGAGCAATCTACATTATCGACCGAGTACTCTACATTACCGGCAGAGCAGTCTGTATTATCGACCGAACACTCTACATTACCGGCAGAGCAATCTGCATTATCGACAGAGCACTCTACATTACCGACAGAGCACTTCACATTGCCGACAGAACAATATGCATTATCTGTTATATGATAATAATATGCATTATCTGTTATATGATAAATTTTAATATGATTGCTCTGTCGGTAATGTAGAGTGTTCTGTCGATAATGCATATTGCTCTGTCGGTAATATGAAGTGCTCTGTCGATAATGCAGAGAGCTCGGTCGATAATGCAGAGAGTTCGATCGATAATGCAGAGAGCTCGGTCGATAATGCAGATTACTCTGCCGGTAATGCAGATATATCGGCCGATAATGCAGATTGTTCTGTCGGTAATACAGATTACACGGTCGATAATGCAGATTGTTCTGTCGGTAATAAAGAGTACTCGGTCGATAATGCAGATTCATATACATTAAATAGAAATTATTTCATGCTTTTCACTGCATTTTTCCATACTTTTAAACAATTATATCTAGAGCTTGTGCGTATTCATATCAATTAATTAGAAATTATTTTTATACTTTTCACTGTACCTTTTTTGAAGTCGGTTAAATCTTTTTTCCAAAAAATTATTTTATTTCACTCTTTGTACTGGCAATCTATAACCAGTAGGTTTCATGCAATAACAACAGTTATGAGCAATATACAGGATGACCCAAAAACGTTGGAGGTCCTTGAAAAGGCTTGTTCCGCGGGGGAGGGGGGGTTGAAACAATTTTTCCTTAGCGAAACAGAAACTCGCGCTCTGATTGGTCGGGGGTTTCTTTCTATATCTCCGTAACGAAGCCTCGAACAACATTTTCGTTAAGAAAAAATTGTTTTAAATCATCCCCACCCCCCGAAACACCCTATTCAAGGACATCCAACATTTTTTGGACACCCTGTATAATTGCAAATGGGATTATCAGGAATACATGTGCAAATACATGTAAAAGTATGGATAGCGTTTGGTAAATTTCTTGTCGAGCTACACCAGAGCATAACAATTTTGCACCAGCAATGATTTTAAACAATAAAAGTGTCCATAAATTTTTGCAAATGGGAACATTACGAATTCATCTATTATGAAATGCAGAAGGTTCCATCGCGCTCGGTAATTTCCTCACCGAGTTACATCATATAATAGGAATTTTGCGATAACAATAGTTATAAACAATACAGAAATTCACAAATTTTTTCATCTGTGATCATTGCGAAAACCTCTCCGGCAGCAAAATGTAAGGGATTTCATCGATTTCATCGGTTTCATGCCAAACATACGTGAAATAGTACGCTTTTTGCGATAAAAAGTGATATAAAGTGGTAAAAAATAAGACAAGGACAAATGTTTTGCTATAGGACCAAATGGCAAATGCTCTTCCAGATGCAAGAAGTTTCAATCTGATTGGTTCATCCATCTCGGAGTAAGAAGCAAGACAAAATGTTTCTGTTTTAAAAAAAAACGGGTAAAAAATGACAATTTACAAAATGTTTCTTTTACGCGACCAACTGGAAGAAATATTCGACAAGATGCAAGAGGTATCACTCCGATTCATTAAGCCATCTCGACGTAATCGGCAAGCATACCTAAAAATCACGGTTTTTTTGTAAAAAGACGGGTAAAAAATGACAAATCGCAAAAAGTCTTGACAGCAGGATCACCGGGGGAACATGCTCTACAGGATGCAACACGATTCATTCCGATTGATCAAGCCATCTCGGCGTAATCGGTAAACAGACATTAAAAAAAAAAGAAAAAAAAATACACATGTCGAATTGAGTAACCTCCTCCTTTTCGAAGTCGGTTAAAAACAGAGTTACTTGCATAGTAATTGGCAAATGTAACGGGTGGAGTTGTTACCAGCAAAGAGCTTAATGTACGTGCGATATAGTTTTCAAGCGTTTTAATATTTTTCTAGAATTGTTTTGAGAATTTTTACTAATTTAAAAAAATTAAAAATTCGTCCACTTTTTTTCATTGAATACAAGGGTGAATTTCCATTTTTAGGAAAGTTTTGTCCCGGTTTTGTTACAATCTAGATCCGTCTCTTTTTAACTGCCGCCTAATTATATCGATCTTTATGGCAAACAGTAACTTCAAAAATGATTATTATAGTATAACGATTATAAAATGATTACATTTTTATCGAACAAAACTCGAATCAACGTTCTGGAGTCGTCGAGACCGTGTTGTCACGTGCGATAATTCAAGTTAAGATGCGCTTCCCGGGGTGCTGTGCAAAGATGGGTGACCGGCTCTTTTTCGCAAGAGTAAAAAGATGGTAAACGGAGATCATGTACTGCGTTATTATAATAACAACCCATTTGCCATCACACGGAAAAGTGGAAAATTCGTGTTCTTGTGAACGATATATTCGATTGGAATTTAATTCCCAAGTAAATTACGCGATTATATGCGCTAATGATGCAAATGGGTTAAAGAGCGTCGACTACCTGGCGCGAACCGTGTATTGGAAGGTGTTATTGAATTAAACACGAATTGAAATTAGAATACTAAATGTCGAATCGAGTAATTCCCTTCCTTTCCGAAATTGGTTAAAAAGGAATATACAAGCTCCCGTAGAATAAAATAAAAAAGAGCAAATAAAAAAGCAAATAAACATTGAGCACTTTGTTAAATGAAATAACGTTTCAAAAAAATCCCGAGTATCTAAACTATGTCTTAAAAAGGACAAACGTGAAAATCTCGAAGAATGAAACGAAACGCAATCACACGCGGAATCACTCGTCAATTTCCATCGAAACAGTTTCCAAAGTGTCGTTTAAAGCTAAAGAATTCAAGGGAACGGATACCTAGCGGTATTTGGGTCAATGTTGCGTCCTCACAGGCTCAGCCCAGAGGCAGTGGTTACCCTTGTCGCGATTGAGTCGCCCGTTTCAGGAAGTCGTTACTTTCTTTACCATTGCGAGCGACGCGTATGCATAATTCAACGGAAGAAGCTGCGCAAAAAATCCGTGACCGTGCGCTCGAGTTAAAGGTCAATCATCGCTTCTTTACGCTTTGTCGCCTCGCGTAACCGGTTGTATATCCTTAAATTTATGGAAATCCTTTGTTTGTCGTCCAAATGAAGACAGTAAGTAGACAGAGTATCGAAAGTGTTAAATGCATTTTGTTACGAGTGGAGAGACGGACGTTTATGCGAATACAAGTACTCATCGTTGACAAGACTATATACGTACGTTAAACGATGATTATATAGAGACGTAATTGAAGATGAAGAAAGAGCTGATTCCAAGGACGTTTTTCTTGGGTGCATATCTGCGAATAACTTCGAGACTAAGGTCACCTTTCACTTAATAGTCACTGCCTATTATTCGTCATCCTCTCTTCTCTTCTAAGCTACTTCTTTATTTTTAGAAGAAGAATTAAATATAATTAGAGTATACAATTTTAAAGAGAAAATAATTAAAGAGAAGACTATTTAATTAATAGTCTTTATAGTTGGGAGTCCCATCTTTTTACTTCAAGAAAAAATAAATCAAACATTTCGCTTCGTTTCATTTCCTTCTGTTTTTTTTTTTAATATAAATACTCTCAGAATGTAATCAAAGAGATGATTATTTAATTAATAATACTTATAGCTGGGACTTGATGGTAGTCCATCTTTTCGCTACAGGAAAAATAAATAAAACATTTCATTTCCTTCTGTTTTTTATATATAAATATTCTCCATAGTACAAAATTCAAGTATGCGATAGAGGGGAGTGTATAAAACGGCGTATACAGGGAAACAAAATTCGAAAATAAGATTGATTAAAAATGTCCACTCGGTGAATTACACGAATTACAATTCTAGCATGCCAGGGGTACTCCGAAGGGGTCGTTGCCCAGTATAAAATTACAAAAATCGTAGAAAATAAATTCGACTTTTCTCCCTGGACGCGCGAACGTTAAATAAAAAATGGCGCACGCGTGTAGTACCTAAAAATTAGAATACGGAATTGTTACACTTGTTGTTACTTATTACCATGAATTTAGATTCGTAGAAAAGGTATATTCAACCGGTATAAAATTACAAAAATCGTAGAAAACAAGATTCAAATTTTCTCCCTGGTTCGAACGTTAAATTCAAATGTCAAATAAAAAATGGCGCACGCGTGTAATATATACGTGGAATGTATACACATTTAAATTTCCTATGAACGCATAAAGATCGGTCTACTTATTATTAGGTTGTCCCAAAAGTATCTATCCTTGTATTAGTAATCAATACATACACAATATTTTATTTTTCATGTTACATTAAAAAATTGCGTACAATTCCACTACTGTCACAGCATCAACGTCTAAGAAATTAGATCGTCTATTTATATAAACACTGCCACAGAAAATAATCGAATGCAACTCACGAAAGAAACTTTTAGGACAACCTAATAAAACGGATCTCGATTCATGGAACACGTGAACCATCGGTATCTATCATAAATATTCTGTCGTACCAGAGGCGCAGAGAATAATCGCAAGAATCGATATTTTTAACGGTAGCCGGATGATAATCGCAGGAGATAAATAGGCTTAATGGTAGTAGCTGTAGGCAGGGGAGATTGTCTTCTGGTAAAGGGGAATCGAGGCGTGAGCAAGCGTGGGCGTGAGCGCCTTTCCAACGACGGGATAAGAACCGTGAACCTGAACGTGGTCCAGACGAGCGGTCTTTATCAACGTGGGTTGCTGGACGGAGACTCTCTCGATCTTCGTCGCTGGCTCGACGACGTTCACTTCCTGGAAGGTCTCAATCGGCCTGGAGAGGACGACGCGACGAGTAGAGACGCGCTCGTTGGCAGGCTCCGCGTTGTCCGGTGCTGGTGTCGCGGAAAGGACTCGTCCCTTCACGCGGCCATTATCGTCCAGCGAGGCTCTCGAGAGAGCGTTGTTTGCGTATCCCACCTGGAACAATTTATTTTCAATGTTGGATGCCAAACTTTCACTTTTAGTTCTTCGTTCTCACTTTATTATTGAAATTGTTTAGCTTTTTTGTTCTCTCTCTTTTGTATAACCCTGAGCTAGATACAGGATGTGTCGGAATTGGTAGGTCCTTGAAAGGGGTGACTCGGGAGGCGATTTGGAACAACTTTTTCCTTTGCGAAAATGTCGTGCGAGGCTTCGTTAAGGAGATATTAATTGAAAACTCCGGACCAATCGGAGCGCGAGTAGTCTACGCCACTGGGGGCGCTCCACCGCTCTGATTGGTCCGGGGTTTTCCGTTGATATCTCCTTAACGAAGCTTCGGACAGCATTTTCGCAAAGGAAAAAGTTGTTCCAAATCATCCCCTGAGTCACCCTTTTCAAGGAACTCGAACAATTTTGAGACACCCTGTATCTATCTATAGAATAGAATGCTAGCGTTGTTCGTGTATCCCACCTAGAACAATTTATTTTTAATATTAACAATTAGTTATATTAATAATTAAATAATTATTTTCAATGTTGAATGCCAAAGTTTCTTTTAGTTCTTCGTTCTCTCTCTTATTGTAGCGTTTGGTTTATAGGTAAATCACCTCGGCAACGTTGCCACGAGCGGTGAGAAGCTCGAGGAGCCTGTCCTGGTTGTTCTTGTCCTCCTCGGGGGTGGACTTTGGGCTGACGATTACGCTTGGCGAGGGGTCGTGGGCAACGAATGGTTCGTTGTTGGGTGATCCGTTGGAACTGGTCCTCACCTGAGGGCTGGATATGTGAACCTGCGCAGAGTATCATTGTTAAACGACAGAGTACTTTTGGTGGATTGATAGGGAGAAATACTTTGTTATTTATTAAGGGAAGAAAGATTGTGATTGTAAGGGAAAAGATGTGATTGTAAAAGAAGAGATTTTGTTAAATAGAAGATATCGCAAGTAGAAGAGATTTTGTTAAATTTAAGAGATTGTAAGTAGAAGAGATTGAAGCAGTAGAAATTATGTTAAGTAGAAGAGATTCTAACAAAAGAGATTTTAAATTGGAGAGGTTTTGGCAAATAAAAGAAATTCTAAGAGAAGAGATTGTAAGTGGAAGAGATTTTGTTAAATTGGAAGAAATTGAAAGGGATGAAATTTTGTTAAGTGGAAGACATTGTAAGCAGAAGAAATTTTGTTCAGTCGAGGAGATTGTAACGGAAGAGATGTTGTTAAGAAGAAAACATTGTAAATAGAAGAGGTTTTGGTAAATAGAAGAAATTCTAAGAGAAGACATTGTAACTAGAAGAGATTCTAAAAGAAGAGATTGAGATTATACCTGGTCCTGGAGTCTACGGAAGTCGGGGTTGTCCACGACAACGCTATCTTCGCCATTGGGAGCTGGGCTGGAGGGAGCCAGTGGTGGGGAGATGGTCGAGTGGCCGAAGTTGTACTGTCCTCCAGCTTGTATCTGATACGGGTACAGAGGCTGGATCAACGCTGGTCCCCTTTGGATCTTCGAAGTTGGTTGCTCCAGTTCGACCACTGCTGATCCAGCTGGACGAACCACCACGCGTTCCTCTATATCGTAGAACTGCTTCTGGATAGCTGGACGACGTACCTACATGGGGGACAAATATTAATTATTTACCGGTCGTGTACTGTAGGCTGCTATGGGCTAACAGAAGAAGGAGAAGAAGAAACAGGAGAAGAAGAAAAGGAAGAAGGAGACGAAAAAGAAGAAGGAGGGGGAAGAGGAAGAAGAAAAAGAAGGAGAAGGAGG